TCCCAATCTACTGAGCCGACCTGTGATAGTCTCGTTGTCACAGGTCGGCTAGAACTATGAGGTGAGTGAAAAGCACTCACCTCATAGTTCTCCTTTAGACTGGGTTCCCACCTAGACGTTCGAAATATGTGTGTATGACGTGTATTTAACCGCGATTTGCAGCCCACAAAACGCGCGTCAAACGCGCGTTTACGAGGGCTATCCGGCTGTATCCTAATGGATATGCGCGGAAATACGCCCCAAAGAAGCTCCTGTACTTCTTTGGGCATAGGGCGTTTTTCAGCACGTTCCAACACGCTGAAATACGCCCAAGTGAGAACCATGCACATAGGAAATAATGGGATTTCACTTGCAGGGCGTTTTACAGCGCGTCGATCAGCGCTGTAAAACGCCCAGGTGTGAACCCGGCCTTAATGGCTCTAAAATTATTGCTCTCACTCCGTTTGCGGCGATATGCAACATGTGCGGCACGTAGGCGCACCTGACGCATATATGCGTGTGTATGTGGGGGGCGCGGACTTAAAAAAAATGTTTAAAAAAATAAATGTTATGCTTCTTTATTTTTTTTATTAATTTCATTTTTGTATTACTTTTTTTTTTTTCAATACAACTTTATTGCTATTACATGGGGGGCTAAGAAGCCCCCTATGGGATAGCCAATTTACATGACAGGTCCTCTTTAGGGAGACATCAGGGGTCTCCAAGACCCCTAATGTCACCTAGGGACCTCCAGAGAAGCTGATGAAGCAGAGATCGGCTTCATCAGCTTCTGTAGCTGGAGAGTGACACTGAGGAAGGAATAATATACATCACTTCCTGCATTCGGGGACTGAGAGGAGATCAAAGGGAGTCCGTGTATTGATCTCCTGTCACATAGCCGTGTCGGTCCTGGCCACATCAGGCACAGCGGATCTCAGGACCGGCAACGGCAGTGACAGCTTCCGATACAAGCGATCGTGCGTCTCTCGAGACGCTCGATCGCTTGATTGTAAAGCTCCCGGCCGGCCGTGTAATTACAACGGCCGGCCGTGAAGCTGCTCGTCGAGCTCCACTGTCTGCTCGTCACAGACGAGCAGACGAGTGGATTTTTCGAGCCCTGTATATATACATATATATATATTCCATGATTATCTTTATACCCTTCCAGTGGGGCTACCCCCGCACTGCCAGTGTTTACTATGCGTTTATATCTAGGGGTATAGTCAGGAGGACTTTAACTTACCTGACCCCCGCTCCCACTGTCTGAGTCCCTTGAGCTAGGGTGGAGAGAAGAAAGGTGAGCATTGACTGCCAGGGGGTGCGGTGATCAGGTAAGTAAAAGGAGCAGTTAACCCTTGCAGTCAATGCTCGCCCTTCTTCCCCTTGCTCTAGCTCGTAGACTGTCCCTTAGCCAATCATAAATAATAACTTTATTATTCTGTATTTTTGTTTTGCCTGTCTAACGGAAAGTATGTTAAAAAAGTTTAATTCTGTAAACAAAACTTTATTAACCTAAGAATGCTGAAACTTACAGGAACCAAACTATATTACACTAATTCTTTAGCAGTGATATGTGCTTTCAAGTGGTATTTCCATTGGGGTTTTTTTTGGTGGGGGCATTCCCTTTTATAATATGTGTATCATTACAGTGCAAGTAAATGTTAAACTGAAGCAGAGAACGATCAGGTAAATTTTTATGGCTCGCTGTATGTTCTCTACATTATTACCTGTTTAACTACATTATACCTCTGTATGCATTCCTATCTGTGTTGAAAGAGGACACATTTTTTGTTCCACTGCTCTTAATACTGAATTAAAAACATCATTTTGATCCCATCGGACTGAGTACACTTTTGCTAGCAAGCTTTGTCCCTATTTGCTACCACCACCAGGGTTATTTTTTTTTTGAAGCCCTTGTTGGGTGCACAAAAACAGACACCATAGCGAACAAAAACATTCATGTGAACACATACAAAAAATTGCAACACAAAGGGGTATGTCTAAATGGCCCATCGTCTGAAGAGATAGGGCCCTTCCCTGATCCCCCCCGGGGTGCAAGGCTTCTGACAGGGGCAAGGCAATCGTGTCCACCTGGCTGAGACCAGAGGCAGACCCATTCCTCAGCTGAAGCCAACTAAAGAGTACTAGGTTAGGGGCTCTCCTGAAGAGAGACCCCCCCCCAGTTCAGGAAGGAACTTGAAGGCCACACATTCTCCTCCTGGACTCCAGGGTAGCCCAGAAGACCCACACCCTCTATCCTGTAGGAGTGAAAAATATGCATAAAAAGTGAAGTGACAGACAAGGCGAGAAAAACAAATAAGTGCCAATGTGTGAGATAATGGCTAGCCCTTGCGGCTCGGTATATAAATGACCCCTGGTATAAACCAAAAGGCCTAGCACAAGAGGCGAGGTGCAGCAAAAGCAAAAAGTGTCATGGCCAATGTGCCTTTCACACAGTGGAGTCCCAAACCCATATTGATACTTGGGGGCCACTCCTGGGGTTACATGGCACTGCAGCTTCATGCCTTCCCAGCCCATGACCAGTCCAGGAAGCCCCGTTCCAATCAGGAGGCACTGGGCCCTGCCAGATCCTGGACACTGGGGAAGTATCTCGTAAGAGAGACATCACTGTTAGCACAGCAGGTAACTACATACATGTTTCAGATGACTGCAATGTTTTAACATGGTCTGATAAGAACCAAACTCATCCAGAGAAACTGGAAAGGTTTCTGTGCCCTTAGGTGATTAGCAGTAAGCATTTTCTTTCAGGATGGCATTGCTGGGACATGATGGTCAGAAAATCGGAGGACTGGCGGGTTGGGGTATGTTACCGAAGCATATACAGGGAAACTGGTCAGGTTCCTCTTGGATATAATAAGAGGTCATGGTGTTTGTACCCAAACTCTAAGAATGAGTATGCAGTGAGGCATGAAAGGAAAGAAGTGGAGTTATCTCACTGCATATCATCAAGTGATAGACTTATATATTTGGATTATAAGGTTGGGTGTTTGTTCTTTAATGAGTTGGGTGAAACAGTCACCTGTGCACCTTCACTATTCCCTTCACTGAGCCCCTCCATGCTGCTTTCATGCATGCAGGACATACAAAAATGAACAGGGTGAGGCTCATAACGGTATTTATACACAAGTTTCCTTCACTCTTCCATCACTCTATTCTTCCTTTGTCTAATGAAGAAATACCCAATATTTCCTGGTGGGGGTTGTGACAGTAGCAGCCGCTCCGAACAACTGTATGTCACCAACAAGAGACAATACGTAGCTCTGATGCAACCGAACCTTCACAAAGCTGTGACAATACCACAGGACAACAATCTCAGGCCAGGCTATTTTTAGATATGCTGTGTGAATGGGAACACATAACAAACATTTAGAGGGATTTTCTCAAATTTGACTGCAAAAGTGGAAATATATTTTAAGCTGTAGTGTCAAAGTATATAAAGAGTGTTGTTAAGACTTCTAGAGAAAAAAATTATATTCTGAGGAAATTGGTGTTTTAGTCTTTCAAGTAAAGCGTGTGAGAGGCCTACAGACCAATCGTTCATTGTAAGTGCTGAAAAGAGAATTTTCCTTCTGACTTTGTCCTCCTGTCATTGCCTTGTATGTCCATTTATCTTCTTTGTCCTGGGAATGGCTCTCAGATTGTAGGTAAGCCCTTGTTTTCGGAAGGTGCGTCGGAGCACATCCAGGTTGAACGTGTCTGTGGGGTTTTCAGGTTTGAACGAGAACTTCTGGAGCAAAGCAGTGAGAAAGAGGAAGATTTCCATCCGGGCCAAACTCTCCCCTGGGCAGATCCTCTTCCCTGAAACAACCCGAAAGCAGAGATAGATGAGACCATGTGACCACATTACAATGCAGAAGAAGGCACTATTAATTTTTTTATTTCTGTTTCTTACCTGTGGAGAAAGGAATCAGAGCTTCCTGTGGGCAGAATTTCCCATTCTCATCCAGGAAATTTTCCGGATTAAAGTCATAAGGTGCTTTCCAGTACTCCGGGTCTGCTAGTGCAGAAGTAAGGAGGGGAAATACGGTCGTACCCTGTAACATTATGACAAGGAAGATATTATGGCACCGGCAAATTTTATAAACATTCCTCTCAAGGAATCATTTCAACACATTTAGCCCAGCATTAGATCCAGGTCTTGGAAACACACTCACCACTTCTTATTGTGCAATTAGCAACTTTGAAAATATAAAAAATATTTTTCTTTATAATGCTTTACTGATAAATATACAGTAAGATAGTTTGGGGTTTCCCCCAAAGAAATGCAATCTCTAGCGCTTAAGAAGTTCTGACACTTGATCAGGGCTGTGCTGAGTCAATCACCATGTGATTTTAGCTGTGCTTGATTTCAAAAGTGTCCCCTTTACCATGAATCAGAAGATTCATGGTAAAGGGGACAAGATCAAGTGTAGTATCTGTTCTTATCAGTTGTCGGGAATTGAAAGTCTGCTGTCACCTAAGAGGGGTGGATGGACGGACCAGTAGATTCCTGGCGTAATTGGTAGGGAGCCAGATGAGGTTCCAGGCCCTCGGAGCTTTCGACCCTAGTTAATGGGTGGGCTCCGGCGGAGGGATCTCTGAAGGTGAACTATCTCCTGATGGGAATGGATACGAAGCTTGGTCGAGGCTAGAGGGTCGGGAGGCGGCAGAAGCCCGTGGTGTTGTGCCCCCTGGGGGTGGCGTCCCAGGGGTGCTCAGGAAGTCACTTGGGTGTGGGACCCCACATTGACTCACTGATCACTTGGTCACACACCACCTTGCATTTTCTGCACATCGCCTCTTGGACAGGCCTTATGGCTAGTCCGGGGCAATTTTTTTGCACTCGGCCCCTAAGGCCTGTCAGCGTGGTGCACTGGCACTTTAGTATTATTTATGCGCGATTGCACGTTTGGCTTTTTTTTCAAAAGCTTTTTGACCCACAGATTGCTGAAGGTGCAGATTTCTTCTGGGCCTATTCCTGATGCTGGGAGGAGATTCTGTGCCTCCTATGGGGTTCTCTGTCTCCTCCCACCCTGGAGGGGGGTTTCTCTTCGGGAGATCCCCCCTGCCTAGTACTGTGAGGGACCTGTTTCGGCAGGTCCCCAACGGAAATGGTCCACCGGCCTTCGGGTTGTCAGGAGCCTTGCGCCCCGGGGGGTCGGGAAAGTAGGTCCCTTCTTTTGAAGGACCTTGCACCCTTGTGCACGTTTTTGTGTGCTGTGATTTCATGGTTCACTTTTTTTGTTCACAGGGGGAAGTTTGTTTTGATGCACGTCCACGGGCTTCGAAAAAAAAAAAATGAATCAGAAGAGGAGCTGTTGAGCTCCATTATTCAGGAGTGGTGAGCAGCCAGATTCCTCCTACAACTGTATGCAGAACACTGTCATTTATCTGGGCTCTACAGTATCAAGTTTGTAGCTGAAATCAGCATTTTCCATCTCCATGCCACATAAAACACTTGTGCTCATCATCTGCATTATTTGCCGTCACAACTCCTACCACTTGTGGGATACTTGCCATCATCAATCATCATCTGTCCCACCACCTCTGAGATACTTGGAATTATATGCCATCCTTTGTCCCTCAACCTATAAGATACTTGGCATGATTCATCAAGTGTCCAACCACCTATTAAATTATTGGCATCATCATCTGTCATATCATATCTTATATCATACATCAATATGTACATATCATAATTGGCTTCATCCGTCCCGCACCTTTGAGATACGTGGCATTATTAATTACACTACCTCTGTCATACTTGGTATTATTTGTGTTCCTGATTGGGAAGTATACTTTAGTAAATTAACTTCTTCTTCTGTTGTTGCCATTTATGTGCGCTGTTCCTGGGAAAAGTGGTTGCACTTGACAAAAGTGCTTGGACTACCTAAGCAAAACCATCATATCAGACATTTGAAGATCAACTGTAGCTATGAATGATATGTTACCAGCTAGTTTTGTTATTTTTGTTGAAGACATCATTGGGGGCATTTCACTGCAGTATACAGGAGAATCTTACCGCACTCCTTACTGGTATGTCCCTTGCGGTGGGTGGTGTCGTAGTGACTGTGGAGGGCGCCGCTTCAGATTCAGGGGGGAATCTGAGGAAGGGACCCTGAGTGGCTCCGGATTGTTGCAATGCGACAAGATATGTGTGCATTAATAAAACGATCACTTTCTGAAGATTTGACCACGGTGTGCTGGTGATATATTTTACTATTTCACTGCAGTAGATAGGAGAAGAGTGCGGGGCCCTAGGGCAAATGGAGGAAACCTCATTAACTCCAGTCCTATTTGAAATACCAGTAGTGAGACTTCATTACAGTTGTCTGTTGTTATGATCACTGCAAACTTTACTGGGGCTTATGGTAGTTTTTCCTTTTGGCCAACATGTACCCAAGAGGTACTTTATTATTGTTACTTTTTTTTAAAATGTAAATGGATATTATTTAAGGTGTGTCACAGCACAAAAATAACCCATACATAGCTACTGTACATATTGCAGTTCCACAAGGTAAAAACAGATTTTACCGCATGCTATTGCAATGTGAACTGAAAAAAGTTTTGGATTTAGATACATTGTAAATGTTATAGAAAAAACAGAATATTCACAGAAAATGCAATACACATTTCCTTTAAAGTCTATGTAAACTCTAACAATGAACTTCTCTTATTTGCTGCCTTTTGGTCTGTTAAACATACCATTGAAAGATACAGGCAGACAGTACATTTCCAAAGGGTGATAGGGAGGTAAATATGTAAATTTTTAAAATAAGGTCAAATAGTTTAAAAGTTAATAGTTTACTAGAACATTCTGTATCTATACGCGGCATGGAGATACAATGTTTTTTTCAGACTGTCTGATCAGCAGAAATGCTGACCAAGCTGTTTAAAGTTCCCCATGTCCTGTCCTGTCATTAATATGTAGACGCCTAAATCCAGTAGATGTTTCATCTCGCTAACTTGTTTCAAAATGATAAACCTGTTAACCCTTCTATGAGCAGAGGCCATTGATGTGTGGATGCCCAATATGTGTCAATTTACCTGGACAATAATGCAAGGCCCAATTTGCACACCTGAGTCATTCTTACATTATTTCCTATTTTTTATTTTGGACACTATATTTTTTTAATTATTATAAGCTAACAAATGGTCGAAAATGTTTACATATCTGTTCATTTTAAACATAACAGATTTTTATATTTAAAAAAAAAGCTTTAAATTAATTAATTAATTTGGTTAATGAACTGGGACACCGGCAGCATGCCGGCTTCAGCTGTCACTGAGCCTCACACCGGGAGAGTAAAGCTGGCCATACAGCTATAGATTATCTGCAGATTTTCTATAGGTGTATGTCCAGCTTAAGCAAACCTCAAGTGATCACCAACTGTCTTGGTAATCACACGATTGGGAAACATACCAAATGGTTCCAACTGGTTAGTGACAGAGAAGTGCTGTCACTGGCAGCAGTATCTCACATTAAAGAGAGCGCACAGGTGCACATACCTAGTTCTAAAGTCAGGACATAATTTCTCGACAACCAAGATCACATGCTCTCTGGCTATTGGAAGTATTGTGATCACATATTTCTATGACCAACTCTTGCTGAGACTGCACAAAGTCTACTTACTATATATGCCACCAGCAATGAGCCTCCGAATCCGAAACCACACACTGAAACTGCAGAACGAGCGACGGCCATGTCGGCCCGAATATAGTTTTCGTATACTCGGGCATATGATACATTTGTTATTTCGGATTCGGATGAACCGCAGAATCAACTGAATTTCGTTGATTTGCAGGTTCGTCCGAATCAGAATGCACATGTCTATTTTCCTGCCCTCCCTTTGTTTGGGGTACTCCGTCCCCTGTTTTTTGCTACTTTTTGTCCCTTTATCACGACTCTGATGTGATGAATGCCTGCTCGGTTGCCAACCAATGGGGAGAAGCTTTCCTCCTTCAGGGTGCGCAGGCGCCCCTTTCATCCCTGTTCGGGACAATTTGGCTTTATATGCTGCGCTCCAGACACGCTCCCTGGCTGCCATGACAACGCCTGACATGGTCGCAGAATACATCTGCGGTACCGCCCATTCTTTTACCCCACTCGTCTGTAACACTGACAGCTCGCTCTCCCGCCATATATTTTTCTATATGTTGCTGCTGCTGCTGGAATGGATCTCCCCCTTGGGACACCTTGGTGAGCCATCCATCTATTCTGCTAGGCTACATGTAACATGGCCATCTGACTATTATGTGTACTTTCGATATGTTTCTCTATTTGTTTTGTTTTTGAAATTCTGGTGGGCTATGATGTCATTATGACGTCGAGGGGAGGTTCTTAGCACTTGTTTGTGTGGTGTAGGGAAAATAAAAAAGGTCATTATGTTTGCCCTGTGCGGTTCCGAAACGTTGGCTATATTATACACGTGGCGTTGTCTACAATAAAAATAACTTTTGGATTTATTCCATCCTGCGAGTGCTGGTGATCTTCATTGCTATTATTTCATTTTGGTCAAAGGTCTAAAATAAAGAAGAAATACTTACCCGATCTTTGGTTCTGCTTGTGCTGCTAGGGCTCTGTATTGGATGTTGAGGATGCCGAGGGACATTTCACCTCCGGAGTGGAAGGGAGAGAGATTAATGGTCACCACCATGGGACCGAGGATTGGGTGGGCATTTTGTCTTTATTTTACACCCTAGACCAAAACGAGCACTTAGCCCTTGTAGTGCGGGGGTAGTCCCACTGCAAGGGTTGAGTTTTCTAATGAACAGAGTTCTAGCCAGAGGCCATAAAGTAAAGTTGGGCAGCATGCACTCCATACATTGTACACCCAGAGAAGAATTTTTCAGGGAGAGATGACCGAGAGATGACCTAACACAGGAACAAATTAGCAAAGTCCACGGATTTCATTTTTTTTATAGTGACCCAAGGTGATATTATAGTTATAGGTGGACTCTGCTGGTCTCTCTCAACTACCCGCTTCCTAAGAAAACAATTCCAATCCAGACCAAACATGTCAATCTTTTGACGTGAAAATATCTGCTCTGTTGCTAAACCTTTCCTGCTATTAGGTTTAGGGCATAAGCAATTGATCTTTCAAGTTCCAATACTTGCTGAGACCCTTTAAAGACCAATGTCCAACCAAACTGACCTGAACACTCATCTGGAAAAGTGTCCATTGGTTCTCACCTTGGGGAGGATGAAGCCTCGGAAGTTGGTGTCCTCAGTCACTTTACGAGCAAGCCCCATTGGGACAATGTCTATATATCTCATCAACTCATGAATGACGGCATTGGTATACGGCATCTGGAAGCGGTCAGCTACGCAGGGCAGTCTGTCCATCACGATGACTGCGTCTATCTCCTCCTGTATCCTCTCTAAGAAAAGAATAAAATATCCCAAAGTTTAATCACCTAGCAAATAATGAAAAATATACATCTCTAAATATCTAAAATGTATAAAGATTATTTGCAATCAGTGAGGGTTGAATCTAGAAAATAATTAATTTACTTTTTTTTTAGTATGTCTGGATATTTGCAGGGGGATTCCTCTGCTATAAGGAAAATTCGCATGAAATGTAGGATTCTCTACCAACTTACCATGATTTGGATGCCATGTAGAGCAAAGTGACAGTGTCTATACAAAGGGTGCCCATTCATACTAACCTTGACAACGCTCTTCTGACTCCACTACTGAGCACTTCCAAGTATGGTGGAGAATGTGACCTCCTCACCTATGACAGTGCCCCTGCCTTGCAACCAATTTTAAGACCCATGCACTGTCAGATGACCTAGGTGACTCCTCATAGTCACTGACAGTGGCGGTTTGTGTGTCGGTTGTGATGGAGGAAGGAGGAGCAAGGGACAGAAGGCTGGATAAGAGTAAGGGGGTTGGGTGACCTTTGCAGAGATATTGTCACTTTGCCCTGCATTGGCAAGGGGACAATAACTCTTTAGTTGCCAATAGAGCATACCAACGAAACAGAGGATCTCAGTGAACCCAGTCTTTTTCTACTTAATCTACTAAGGCAGGAGTGCCCACAATGTTTCGTCCGGAGAGCTACTTTTCAAATGACGAGCTCAATTATATCTACAAACGACTAAATACCTGCGTTTAGGGGTGGGAGGGGGCGTGGCGGTGCATTGAAGTCAATGGCACCACAGCCACGCCCCTCACCCACAGTGCGATCACCTGCACCCGGAACCCAGGCACATTAGTGCCTGCGTTCTGGTCCAGTGCGATCTGCAAAAATGCTGCAAGCACTATTTTTGCAGATCACACTGGAACGGAATGTACGCACTAATGTGCCTAATGTGAGGCCAATCAAACTGTGGGCGGAGGTCATGGCTGCGGTGCAACCACACTCCCCCTCCTGCCCCTGAACGCATTCCAGTGCGTTCTAGAGGCACGTCCGTCCTATCCTCCCGCGGTGCTCGTGTGGCCTATGTTGCACGCGAGGAGAGGTGTCCTGCCCCTTTCCGTCTGCGGCGTCTGACACATTCAGCCGGCAGCCGCACAAGCACCTTGGGAGCATAGCAGTAACCAGCTCCTTTTGCACACGTGGCAAGAAAAAAAAAGGTGCCCCCCCCAACAGGCATGTGACCCCAACAGGCCCCTGGAGGCAGCACCCTGCCTCCAGGATTTTTTACTATTTGTTATTTTAATTATTATTATTTTTTTTATTTTTTTTTACTGTTGGGGGGCTTTGGGCAAATATTAGGGGTCTAAACAGCCCCCTGATATTTCCCTTTTAAAATAGAAAAACAAAGTCCTCAATCTCTTTTTCTGCAGCCTCTGTTCTAAATGAATGGAAAGCACAGAGGCTTCCCATTCATTCAGAAAATATTTACTATCTCCAGTTTCTGAATGGGGAGGAGCCTCTGTACAGAGTGCTTCTCCCCATTGATAAACTCATGAATGAACAGGAAGTGATGTAAATCACATTGGGTTCATTCATAACTGGGGATGTGTCCCCAGTTATTTACAAACACTGGAGTGATCAGTTGGATCCGAGGAAAAGTGAAGCTGCAGTCGGCGGGACGGGACGGAGCCACTATCACTGCAGCACGCAGAGCGGTGAGGAGAGAGAGAGCATTCGGGATCCGAATTTCCAAATTGCATTCGGGAGCTCTGAACCGTCACTGCGGCTGTTGGAGGAGCCTGAGGGCTAGCCTCCTTCCTACTGACTATGGACCTAGGACTATGGAGACCCCCCTCAGACCTCTTGGGGTTACAATGAACCATTCTCCTAGGTATATGTATGGAGGGATGTACTGCATATTTTCCCTGGCATTACATTTAAGTGACCCTGTGTATTATAGGTACAGGCTGTGAATCCAGCAGCACTGAAGGGGGATAATTCTGGATAATTCTAGTTTATTGTTGTATTGTTGTATTGTGTTGATGATGGGATTAAGATAGCTGATTCTAGGAGTAGCTGACTCCGGGTGTAGATGAGTAGATCACCATATGATACACTCAGGAGTTAATCCCATCACATGTGTCTCCTCTCTACCTATTCATTCATTAAGGCATCGGGGAGGGGATGTCTGTTTGCATGCTGTTCATTTGATTGCGTTATGTTTTTAGACGTCCAGAACTGTATATATACTGAGACGGTGTTCAATAAAATCAGTTCTTGGTTTCCTCTTCAACATTGGTGTTGTCTGATGATTGAGGAGGTTAGCGCTCTGTCCTAAGATATTGGTTCTGTCCAATAATTAGGCAGGTTTGGGCTGAGGACATTGGAATTCGGGTTCCAGCGGAGAGGAAGCTGATTTCTGATGGAGGTACCCAGTCGGGGTACCAGGCGGTCCATCACAAACTCCAGAATGCCATTCGGCTCTGGGAGCCATATACATATATCAGTAAAGCTGAGGCTCCCAGACTCGAATGGCACTCGGGAGCTCCCGAATGCAATTCGGAAATTCGGATCCCGAATGCCATTCGGGTCTGTATATACTGTATATGGCTCCCATGTTGTCGTAACGAAAATTTGTATTCAGACCCATTCGGATGCATTAAACCGAAAAACACATCTGATTTGCTACAAAAGTCACATGTCCGATTCAGTTTAGTTTTTAAACGGGGTCTGAAATTCGTTCAGAAACGGTGATTCAGATTCAGACACATTCGGATGCATTGGGATACAGATATTCAGATGTGCCCAAATGTCCGAATTTCGGAAAATTCATATGAATTTTCATTCGGAACAAAACAAATCGCACATGTCTATTTGTCATAGAAAACAGTGGCTGCCTGATTCCTTGATGGCCAGTGACAAACAGACAGGATTTCTCTCTGGGCATGCTGTCCGGCTATGTGCAGGCTACAGCAGCCAAAAGTCACATCAGTCTGCATCTGGCGGACTACGTTCTCATATAGTTTGGGCAAGGAAAGTGACAGTGAGAATATGGAAATCTTCACCATCAAAGTGCCACCACCCCTAACCTACAGATGTGCTGAGCGCATTGTGATTGTTTCTCCATTGATCAATCAGAGCCTTACCTTGGATGTCCGGGTGTTTTATCATCACCAACAGGCTGAATTGCACATTGTTGGCTGTCGTTTCTGTCCCAGCAAGGAACAGTTCGAAGACGGAAGCCTGCAGATTCTCTTGGCACAATTCGCTGCTTCTCACATCTTTCTCCTGCAATTTAAAACTAGAATCATGAATTTCAGTCTGTGCAAGGCTAAAAATAGGCAGGCTTAGTCCCCTTTAGCAGGAAGGGTTATATGTATACAGGGTTTGGTCATTGAAAAGGAAGGGACAAAGAATGGGCGAGAGAGGAGCTCAGAGAGTCCATGGGTGGGTTTGGCGTAAGCTGTAGGTCATATGAAGTACCATGCAGCTTCCCCTTTGGGGCAAGCCTGGAATTTTATCTACTAGTAGAGCATATCCGGATAGCTGAGGCGGAATGGAAAAAGGCTTGAATGAATCCACCCTAGCATTTGGCAATGGATCTGTATTGGAGCAGCACAGGAATGTGTACTAACACTTGGATCAATCTACTCATGTTCGTCGGATTGTTCGTGTACAACTTCCCATTCTGTCAAAATACTAAAGTAAATAGTAAAGAAGTTGGACTTGGTCTCTTTCTTATTCTTATGTAATGGAGGGTAAGCCTATAGATGGTGACTTTGTGACTAATTCAGGTTGGAAAATGTGTGGTGACATAGTATTTCAGGGTCCTCCTGCTTGGTGGTGGTAAGCAGGACCCCCCCAAGTCTACTATGCACCAAATGACCTGAAATCCTAGCGTATTAGGCCTGGAATCATGGAAAAATTAGCGGTCTATCATGTGCATGCAATAAAATCTTTTCGCAACATGGCCTGAAGGTCAAGTGCAGTGCAGGCGGTGCAAACTGGTCACTAACCGCCCATCGCTGGAATTGTTTTGTCCATAGGCCCAGCACTGAAAATGGCTCAACAACCCCTCATAAGAGGCTGCTGCAACTTCCTGCTGAACTATCTTATATTACAACAACCCACCAAACTAAGAACCCCAACAACAAGGAATCCAGTGCTCCTCAATCCTACAATTTCAGACAAAAAAAACCTGACTGAGGTTCTAATGCTTCCTACTTTTGAATAGGGGTGGGAAACCTTTGCATGATTCCGTGTCATATGCAACAGAAAACAAATGACTATCTCAGACGTCTCACTGCATTTCAGAATATTCTGGTGGAGAAGCTTGTGATACTTCACATTTCAGTGTCTTGTATATGTCCTGTTACCTTGTTGGCCTGGATGAGGAAGCAATCTATGAAGTCTCGGGGGGACTCTGGATCCAGGGTTCTCCGGTGTGATTCAATTTCCTCCCTGATGAAAGATTTCACATGCTCGCAGTCTGCAAACACCTTCTGATGGGGACCTGGAAGATGCTTCATTAGACTGTCAAACGCAGTGTATGCCTGAGCGGGGTTAAGAGCACAGATATTTATCACATACCACAGATTTATATACATACTCTTAAAATTGGACTTTAAGCAGATAAAAAATACACATGAATGCATCTTTGTAAATATGAATACATCATTAAATGTTTTTTTTCTCTAAAGTATCCTCTGCAGTTCCTGGACTGCAGAGTTTAGAATGGGTGAGGGAGAAGCAGCACAAGGAGTCAATCAGGTTCGCTGCAGTGCAAGAAACAAGCTGCTAGGAAGAGAAAGTGGAGTGACAGAGAGATGAGCTCATCAGTGTGCTCCTTTTCCTTTTCCTTTTCCTTTCAATGTCCAATATGGGGCAGCACGGTGGCGTAGTGGTTAGCGCTGCTTCCTTGCAGCACTTGGGGTTCCTGGTTTGAATCCCGGCCAGATCACTATCGACAAGGAGTTTGCATGTTCTCTCTGTGCATGCTTGAGTTTCCTCCATGTACTTAAATTTACTGCCACACTCCAAAGACATGCTGGTAGGTTGATTGGCCCTGCATGTATGCACATGAGATATGGACCTTAGAGTGTAAGCTCCTTAAAGGAGAACTATGAGGTGAGTGAAAATCACTCAGCCTTGTAGTTCTAACTGACCTGTGACAATGAAACAGGTCGGCTCAATAGATCGGGAAGTGAGTGAACACATACTGTCTCACTTCTCAATCATCTCCCTGCAGAGAGCAGTGACTGTCACTCATGGCTCCCTGCAGGGATTCCCCTGATCCTCCAGTGCTGACTGGCAGAACAGTTGGGGTGGGTACAGCTGGCTCTGCCTCTAGATAGGTAGAGCCAGCTGTCACTCACGCAGCTGGGCGGATCCAGACAGTAATGTCGGGATCCGTCCCGGCTCTGGCGTCTCAGTATAACGTGAGCTGTAGCTTGTGGTATACTGAGCTTTGGGTGACGGGAGGACGCTAGTTTGTGTCTTTGGATAGGGGTGTCCAAACTCCGGCCCTCCAGCTGTGGTGAAACTACAAATCCCATGATGCATCTCTCTCCGGGAGTCGTGGCTGTGAGAATCTTGCAATGCCTCGTGGGATTTGTAGTTCCACCACAGCTGGAGGGCCGGAGTTTGGACACTGCTGCCTTAGGAGAACTATGGGGAAAAGCCCTGACCCCATAGTTCTCCTTTAAGGGCAGGGACTGATATGAATGTGCACTGTGTAAATTGTCAGCGCTATATAAATGTCAATAATAAATAAATAAATGAATTACAGGGTAGGGGTGGACAGGAGTTCTGTAAGTAAAAGTGAAACTGCAGCAAAGGGGTTCGGTCGGGGGGTGGGGTGCTGTGGGCAAGTAGAGAGTAAGAGAATGATGGAAGGAGTTAGAGGCTGTGCTGTCGCTGTTCCTCCCTCTGGCCATTCATGTCCTTAGTGGCTTCCAACTGCTGCTGAAGTAAAGGAAAGGGAAGACTGACCACCTGATATTATAGTTGCCTGCATATTGTAACAATTGTCCATTAGTCACCCACATATTGTAACAGTTGCCATTTGTAGCCCATGTATTGTCAGGATTGCCCGATTGTAGGACACCACCCTAAATCAGACACCTCAGGTTCAAATAGAGCAGTGACTGTCTACTGAGGGCCACAGCTTTTAAATTTCAAAGAAAGAAGATAACACTTCTGTAATTAACATGATAGCCACAATTGCACCTAACATTTTATGGCATGGATGTCTCCGTGTTACCTACATGATCTTTGGAGCAGTAAGTTTGTTTGCTAATTATTGATGCCTATCCTTTTGAAATGGCTGACCTATTTTTTTTTAAGCTAGTCATGTAATCATTTCTAATATGTTCTAAGGAAAACCTGTCAAAAATGGAGGTTACCATTACTGACCCCTCTATATGAAAATGCTAGCTGCTTCCTGGCTTTTATGCTCACCCTGGTGTGGTTGAGGGCTCATTCACATGATTGTGTCTCGGTAATGTGCACGTTACCACAATGCACGTTACATGAAATGGTGCAACATAAGGTAATTCATTCTGAATGGTGTCCTAACGCACCTTGCCAATGGACATGCAATGCAGCACAGCACACCGGACTGATCTGAATTGCGGCAAAGCACAGTATTGTGTGTTTGCTAATTCATCTCAATAGTATGAGTAAGCGCTAATATAGTAGTGATGCCTGGAGGTCAGAATGACAGCCTGACAATCAGCATTTTCATGAGGAGGTCAGCCACATACTTTTCTCAAGTGTACTTTATGTCAATGATGTTAAAAGCACTGACCAATCCTAGACGACTTCGAAGGAAAGTAAACAGATTGTTAACTATGGAAAGAAATTTCAGGAAGGTCTCGTCCTCGTAGTCCCAGCGCCGGCCGAACACCACCAAATTTATCACGTTGTTCACTGCACGTCCGACAACTGCCAGAGGATTGAACGCTTCACCTGGGGATGTAGGCAATAGAGTGTAAAGAATATACATATATAGATGAATATAACCTCTTCATGACTGTGCCCTTGATATGTTTGCATTTGAGCATCAATCCATTTACTTACTATACTTTAGAATAGATGCCAGCTTACTGTGGTGTTCAAAAACGGGGCAAATCTACTGTATTGTAGGAAATGTTACAATGTTCTTCCCCTAATCATCCACCATGACAGTTCACTAGAGAGATAGTTTCACCCACCGGCAGGAAACACAAGATTTAGAGCGTTTAAAAGGGCTCCCAGGAGCTAGTAACCTCAGTTCTTGTGTTTCCTGCCAGCTCCTAGTTTGTTGCTGTGGGTTGGCCACAGTGCAGAGTATATTTAAGGAAATCATGGCAAAACTGATAGGGATCGAATGATGATGGTAAACTAAGTCCAAAACATTAGGAAGCCACCACCCATGGGGCACCCTGCGAAAAGATACATTTGCGAAGACCCCATATAGAAACTCATTCTTCTCCTTGTCCTTAGGGTGGTTCGAAAGGCTTGCATGCTCTTTCAAACTTGGTGAGACTTCAAACTTGAAAATGCATTTCCACCAACTATTCTACTAGGAAAGGTTAAAAGTAAAGCCGTCTCAGAACAATGCAAAGTGATCCTGGTAGCCACCCTTTGGTTAAGGAGGGTATGATTCTCTCTACTTCAACAAATGGCAGAGGACACTTCAATAATCCTCCGCTGCAAGAGGGATAATCATCTACAGTGTCAAATTGTTTACCCAAAACTCTGGAAGCTACAATTGTTGGCCTGGATCCTGAATGGAAAATCCTTAAGAGAATAGATCTATCAGACAAGGTAACTGACCCTAATAAAGTTTCTTCATACTAACTAGATTTACTCTTACAAAGTGTGCAATAAGTACTTTATCCATATTCTTAGACAATAGTTTAGCAAAATCATCCCTTAGTCCAGGGTCTAGCTGTGCTGAAACTACAAATCCCATAAGGCATTGCAAGCCACAGACATGACTCCCAGAGGCAGAAGCATGATGGGATTTGTTGTTTCAGCACAGCTGGAGAGCCAAGGTTGCCTACCTCTGCCTTAGTCACATGGTTTTTCAGGGCCTTAAAAGGACGAAAACTGCTGCAACACCTGACAGCTATTTCATGAGATATCCCAACATGGATGGCCTAATAAAGCCACTCTTCACATCCATTATGCAGTTGACTATGAAGTTAGTATTTCTAGTAGCTATCATTTCGGCCTGCTGGGTCAGTGAAATTCATGCACTCTCGATAAAGAAACTGTTCCACACTCTGATGCAAGATATGGTAATACTTAGGACAGACCCAGCATTCCTCCCAAAAGTGGTAACTAGTTTCACAAAAAGTCAAAAAGTTGTACTACCCCTTTTTGCCACAACTCTACTGACAGCAAAGAGACCAAATTCACCTATATAGACATACAGAGATACATTATTTAATACATCAAAAGCACCGGGGACTCCCGATCCAGTGCCCTACTCATTCTTATCAAGCAACCTAACAAAGAAGAGAAAGCTTCAAAGTCCACAATGTGTATTATTTTGTGCCTAGTTTGTTTTTGTAGTCCTAAATTACTGAGGCTGCTGGGTCCTCCACTGTAAACTCCATGCATCTTGGGTTTCCTGCAGGTAGGCAGAACCATCTCCCTAGTGAACCACCCTGGTGTTCTGTAGTCCAGCAGGTGAGAACTGGGCAGGGCTGGCAACACTGCTTGGGATTTCATGCAGTAAAGGCAGTGTTGCCAGATCACTATAGGAAGTGAGGAGCTCAGTGAATTTCGGGCAGGGTCACTAAGTTATTTTCCTGTAACTCCAGGAATAGGATAAACATGTATTGCATACACATATATAAAAAATTAAATCAGGATTTCTGTCAAGGGTAAAATAAACAGCAGTTATATTTCTCTTATCCCTTGCTCCTGTAGGCTTCCTCTCAGCTGCATGACCAGTCCCCTGAAGCCACTTCTCTTCACACTCCATTGGTCAAAGGCATTATCATCTACAAAGCAGGACCATCAGTCAGGACCTGCACACAACCCAGATCATCAGAGAGAAGAGGAGAGCATTGGCTGTCAGGAGGGGCTTGTGGTGTTGGGATTGTAGGATTGAGGTATAAGGTAAATACAACTGATATTTAGGTTCCTCCAAGACCAAAATGAGCATTTAACTCTTGCAGTGAGGGTAGGGTGAGAGTGGTTACTTTTGATTTTATTAAATATTAATTTTATTTAATCCAGCACCAGAGTCTGGCCAATACAATCTCTTTCTTCAATAAAAAAACTGAGGGCTTCTAATACTTTCCTAATAATACAAATATTTTCTTCCCCTCCCTTCTGATGTCTTCATGTGAAGTTTCTGTCACAGGCGGAGTTTACCTTGTATGCTGGAGTGGAACCCAATAGCAGAGAACAGTACTGGGTACAAGTCCATAGTGAAGCTACAATATGGAAAGTCCAAAGGTTTTGTCAGAATGCGGTCCGGGTTGGGGCAGGCAGCAAGTATCGAGAATGAGAAGTCAAGCCGGGGGTCAGTAACCAGGGAGTCCGAATGGTGGGAAAGGGAAGCAGGAGAAGAAGGAGATAACGCTTCGTAGCTGCACCAGATACAGGCAGAATAACTCAGCAACAAGTCAGGGCTCCGACTGGAATTTAAACCCAGCAAGGTCCAGGAACACCCCTGTTGTCAGAGCAATGACGAAGCTTCCAAATGCCGGGAGCCAATGGGATGGGGAGGCCCTTCCTGCGAATGGCCAACACCCGAACTGACTAATAGGCCACGTGCACTCCCATGCTCACTTGCGCGCTCCTGCAACCGCAACCCTGCCGCCGGGCGCCATAACAGTAGTAGAAGGATCCTACACCCTGCGCCATGCCTGCCAACACCCAGGTAAAGGGGCTCTCCTGGCCCCATGACAGTTTCAATCAAAGAAAAAAATGATAGAGGAAAAATACATACATAAAATTTCCCCTAAACAACTTTATTTAAATATAATTTATATTCTGTTGTTATCGTGGGCTCCCATGTGTTTGATAACTGACATTTAATAAACACAATTACTTTAGACATGTGTTTATCAAAGTATGTTAGAAAAAACCCAAAAATGATGGTATATGTAAATGTCACTGTCAAATTTTGATTCCATTGACTGCTTTCAAGCTCCATCTACTGAGCCAGCTCCTCACCCATAGTTGTACCTTATGCAACAATGGGTGAGGAGCACCAATAATAAATTAAGAATATTGTGTTTTCATGATAAATCCATTCTTCTATTGATAGTAACGTTAAAAAATTGTAGCACATTTTTAGGGGGTTTACAGGTACCTCCTTCTTCAGGCCAGCAAAGTAACCAAAGCATCTTAACCCTACACCCAAAAAAAAAAGACAAACCATTTTAAGAGCCCCAATGAAGAGGGTACCTGTAAAACTCTCCAAATTACTTTTTAGTTACTTTCAATAAAGGCATAGATTGATTGACAAGCTCTTTGAAGTATATAACTTTATAAGCTCTGCATTCAAAGTTGTGTAAAATGCATTTCTGAAGAGCCTCATAAGACGGCTTCCTTCGTGAGCAACCATCAAGTATATTCCACTTTACTGAATGGTCCTGACAATGGATCCTCCCTTATATCCACTACCGTCTAACATGCCTACTAAAAATTCACATGGCCTGCCTGTTATATTATGACATATCATAGTTACATAGTTACATAGTATTTGAGGTTGAAAAATGGTCCATCAAGTTCAACCTTTGTGTGTCTTTGTGTGATTGTGCATGTATGTTTGTGTACATGAGAGTACCTGTTCCCCGGTATGTGACGGTCTCTGAAGAAGGTATCTAAATGCTTTTTGAATTATTCAATACTCTCTGCTGATACCACTGCTTGTGGCAACGAGTTCCAAAATGTAACCGCTTTAACTGAAAAGAAGCCCCTACACCCTTTGTGGTTAAATCGTTACTCCACAAATTTTAGGTGGTGGCCTTTAGTCTTTGTTAGGGAGTTTATTCTAAAATGTTTATTGCTGATGTTGCCATCACCACTAAACATTTTGTACATCAAAATCATGTCCCCTCTTAATCGCCGCACTTCCAGCGTGAAAAAGTTTATATTTAGCAATGTTCAGCCCCTTAATTAGTTTTGTTGCCCTTCTCTAGACTCTCTCTAGCTCAAGGACATCCTTTCTGTGGATTGGTGACCAAAACTGAACCGCATATCAATGAATTAATTTCTCCTAAACTTACCTCCAATATCATCTATAGCCTTTATTAGGTGACGGGATTCCTCCTGCACTCGCTCCTCCATTGATCGCTTCCCCATTCCAAAATTTCTAAGGGCTGTCACCGCAAACCGTCTAACCTGCTGCCATCGTTCACCATTGGTGGTGACAATACCTAAATATGGAAGAAAACATTCATCTGTTTGGTGCTGCTTCTCACAAAATACTGTTAGTGCTCCAGGATCTTGTCAAAATGTCTTTTGAGTCACCTCTGTACACATCCTTTTATCCTGACAACTTTCCCACAGTTAGAATTGCTCCTCCGTTGGGGAACATGAGAAGGCGTGTGTAGTTTGGTTACACTGACCAGGATTTGGTAATCAAAGAAACTGGCTAAGAGACTGAGAAGAGAAAACTCTAGAATTTCTCATGTTACATTTTCAATAATAAAGTATTCTTAATAATAAAGGAAATGAAAATTCAATGGTACTCCCGTAGTAGGACCAAGCAGTACTCATTTTTCACTTCCTTTCTGCAGGTGGAAAATTCAAGAGGGTCCACCCGAAAGTGATATTTTAGCCACAGGTAGACTGAGTCAGCCCCTAATTTCTTATTTGTCTTGGAAACTCCAACAGTGAGATCTCCCTACCATAAATCCTGACTATTCATGTCCACCATGATGTTTTTAGTGTTCCTGTTTCTCCATTTACATTCTTGTCAATGTAAAATAAATGACAAATCCAGGAGAGATGCTGTACATAGGGTACAGCAGGTGTGTAGTAGACCCAGGAACTGAGTGCAGCAATCTCACCTATGGAGTTCCTGAAGGATAGACTACTCTGTCAGCATCTACAAACCCAGAAATATCATTTGTTGGTGGACAAACAACTTTAATGCATTTGTATTTAGCTTTTTCTCTTGGTGCTTGGAGGTATAATACATGTCAGGGAAAGATCCATATATACAGTTTATATATTTGTTTTTTCTTACCATAACCTTGTGCCAGTCTCCCTGACACCGCTAAGTGTCCACGGGCGCTGAATTGATGAGAGTAGTTGATCAGGGCTTCTTTAATAACTGTATATCCACAAAGCACAACCACTGGTTTAGAACCCAACCAGACAGTGAAGATGGGTCCATACTGCTTGGCCAGCTGTAAGAGAGTACACATATACATTGAGTGGCCAGATTATTATGACCACCTGACGCTTGTAGGCAAATTAGCTATAATTTGGCGCTGAAGTTGCTAGAGGGCCAGACCATTATAAATAGGGAAGCGGGTTGTTTACCACGACAGTAGAAGTGATTTTTTTCTGAAGATACGGGTAAACAACGCGATTTTAACAGCCTTTGAACGCGGGATGATTGTTGGCGCTCGGAGCCATGGAGCGAGTATCAGCAAAACAGCAGAATTTGTTAAATGTTCAAGAGCAGCTGTTGTTAAAGTTTTTAAAGCCCGGCCTGTCAGCCGAAAATCTGGGTCTGAACTTGCGTATTGTGGCCATCAGCGACTAGTCAATGTTAGGGCAGAACGGAGAGTGGCAAGACTGGTACAAGACAACAGAAGGGCAACAGTGCAGTGTCAGATTCCTCGCATCACTTTTCAACATCTCGTGGATTTACGAGGCGGCCCAACTAAGTCATCTCGTGGAGTCATCTCGTGGCCCAACGAAGTACTGATGGGCTGGTCATAATAATCTGGCCACTCAGTGAATATCTAATGGTTTATTGTACTTTGTCCAATTTCCATTAATCTCCATTCACTGACCAATCCACAAAACAAGTCTGTATCCAGACTTAAAGGAAAGGGCAATGCATGGAACGATTGATAAGGAATAATTAAAAAAGATCTAAGCCTAACTTGATGACAATTGTATTTTGCTAAAGCACTGCATATCAAACAATTGGCATTGTTTTTACATTTTTCTATACTTTGTATCTCAGTGCTGCTAATCTCCTCCAGCCCCTTTCAGCCCCATCCTGCCTACATGTACTTCCTTCAGCATCTGATGCATGTCATTGCTCTGTGCTGGCTTCCTAAATTGCAAGCCCTCCAATTGTCTTAGATCCTACAGTATTGTCCCAGTATCCATTGGGTACAATACAACGAAACAAATAGCTGGTCACTGGGCCAAGCTTTATACCATCAAAATGAATGGGCCAACTTGTTCACGTAATAGCCTACAGCTTGGCTCAGCATTCACCTATCTATTTGTATTATGACACGTCTTGGTCAACCACTGGGGCATTTTTCACCCCTTTGACTTCAGTCACCAGGACATTTTTTCTTCCTAATGATCACTGATGCGGGGGGG